TATATATATGCGACACATAATTATTCTCTCATTGTACATTTCGCATTAGGCATGGTGTAAGAATCTTGTACTAAGCATGGTACTATAGATATTCTTCAGATTCTGCCGACACATTTTGCATAAAAAACCACCATTCTGTTTTCGCCTTGCAAATGTCTGAGTCGTGAAGAGAAATTCTCACGGACTATAACAGCGACTAACTTTTAATTAACCATCGCACGTCATTATATAAAGTGGACTCACTTCGTGCAATCCTTTTGTTACGTGTGAGACTTGCGTCAGATGTTTGTACGAAGAAAACATACATGGCAACCTATTGGATGACGCCGATATCCTATAATTTTCGGCATCTTGTCGTTTATTATGTAACTCGTAATTTTAGTTTAAGGCAATTCACCATTGTACGTACACACATTATACGTACGATTAAAGAAATGCAACACACTTGGAGTGCAACACTGACATTCACTTTATCATGTTAACTCATCTGGCGGGGAAACGAATAGACAAATTGAATCGCATAACGCGATCTGTTGCATTTGATAGAGCAGAAGCTTCTATTCTTCCACGCAGATCTTCGAAGTTACATCAAATTCGTTAAACAATATTCCGTTCTTATGAAACTTAGAACTGTGAAGTGTTAACATAATGGTGTTAAGGAGATCCTAAAGCCGTCTGTATTATCGATTCAATAGAATTTACACACATATGATTTACGTGTCATTGACATATCAATACACATAAATATAATATGCACACATGCATACAAATTTTCTAATTAACTATAATATTTCATATTAGGTATCTAAGCCTAATTCTAAGAACACGATATTGTTTGTTCATTTAATCCTTAGCCCAAACCAAGATTGTTTTATACGTACAAGTTTAAAATTTATATATAAAACAAATATCATTGCGAATCGACATCAGAAACTGATAATAAAACTGTAATTTTCCAACTTTTTTTTGTTTTTGACATAAAGTCGGTCGGTTTGAACTACACTATCGCTTATACTTTAATTGGGGAGAAGGACTTTTAAGCCTGTATAAAGGCAGTTAGAAAAATACTTATTTCAAAAAATAATCGATAAAACAGACGACTTTAGCATCCCCTTAAATGACATGCATTGTACTCACGTCCGTTATCTTTGAAACATGTATCTATTGTGGGTCGCACATATCTGCACGTACATATGTCACCTATACGTTAAGTATACGTGCGTACGTTCGCACGCAAAGTACGACACGTCGAATTTTCCTCTTAGAAAATAGGAGGACTCATCCATGATTTTTCTACATTCTCTGTTATCGGAGAAACTAAAAAAGAATTCGTATCTCTTAGAACAATTATTATTAGATATCAGTTATATTACAATAAATAATTATCTTATTTTGATACTTTTTTTGTTTGTAAAATATTTGAGGAATTTAAAATTGAGAGAGAAGACAACTTAATTTTTGATCAGTAATTCTATTATCTTCTTTGTCTAACAAACTTTACCGTGATGTAATACACGTCTTGTATTTTGTATATTAATGTCCACACGTCTCGCTGAGAGAATCCCTATATTCATCGATTAATACACTTTTCTAAAATATACGATTTTAGGGATTCGACAATTTCCACACAAGCGTGAGGTGCTGCGCTGAGCCGCTCATAGCAGATTCGCTCGACTTTGCAAATTTTACATACTATCGCCATATTTTTCTAAGCAATAACTTTAATGTAATCGTAATATAATCTATCGTATAAGTGTATTTGTTAGAGGCACACATCTTTTCACTTTAAAACACTTGCGCCGTATGAGTAAATGTGCGCATGTTCGAATCTAAGAGAGTGACGAAGGTTAGATTACTGTCAGCGATGGCGTTAATTCGACCTTCACATACCTTTATCGTTCGTGATATCTATCCTTTTTTTTTTTTTTTTTAATTATAAGTACTTATTGAGGGACTTATTCGCAAATCACTTTCTGCGAAGCCAGCTCTCTAAAAAGATGTAGCTTTTAATTGCTGTTCTTTCTTTTTCTTAGGGATTGTTTGTTTCAGTTGAAACGACCGAGAGAAGGGATAGTGTGCTTGATATTTGACGTGTATATTCAAATAGAATACTTCGTAGCAGAAGAAGGGTCGTAAATTCTCTCGCGGTTGTAAGCTGAAGTTGTGAAAGAGAGCTCTTTTTTAAAGTGCATAGTGTTCGCTTTTTGATCGAGAAGACCCTTCTAAGCGTTATTTTACACTTGATAAGATTTTTTTTGTTGGGAAAATCGTAATAAACACCGTTTTCTATATAGTAATCGATAACTACGTACTACATTAAGATACTTTATTGAATAGCTAAAAAGTTATTATATTGTAATTGTGTATGCGCTTTTACACGACTGCAAAGTTATTCTCGTAATGAATAGTGTTATTTAGGTTTCAAAACCTAGACCTAATGATATAAGGCACATACGCAATTCTCAAATTATTTAAAAAACTTAAAAAAAAAAAAAGATACATCAGCATTCATATTTCCGCAAGAAGCATTGATTTATACGTGAAACCGCCAGATCGCAAGATCGCAGTTGTTTTTCGTGTCTTTGTTTTCGCATCGAACAATGTCAGATTGATATTGTTAGAATGCAAAAAGCGTGAAATTTTGCAAATCATTTTTGTTTAATCGCTCGTAATCAGTGACAGTTAAGGAAAAGGGAATCCGGGATATCTACTTAATACCACATATTTACTTGTTTTAATAAATTTGGCTGTTGTAGTTATTTATCCAACGATTCATAGAGAAAGATATTGTAAGTCGGAAATAAATGCGGTAATGGCAACAATCTTAAAGAATGATGATTATGATTATGAATGTAATGAAAATAGGACAGCTTTGTGTGGAGGAAAATAAGAAAACGAAATATGGAACGTACGCGTATTGTTGTCTATTAAGTGTTATGTTATATGGCATATAAATAAAACAGTACTGCTATATATAATCATAGCGATGCTTAATGTTTAACCTTTCAATTTCTTTGTTCAGAATTTTTATATTTTTGTGACCATCGAAATTTACAGATGCGATCTCTTTTTTAACATATTAGGGAGGTTCTAACATATTTTTACAATAACGTGTATCCAGATACGAACGCATTAAAGTCGCGTTATCCTTTTCTTAATTGGATGTTAAGAAGAAGATAACCTAACTTTAGCGTTCATCATATCTGGATAAATGATATTGTAAAAACTACCTTATTATTGTGAAATGTTACTCTGTACTTTCGACTCTTCTTACACAATAACGCTATAGAAAATATTAAATCATTTAATAATTATATCTCGGCAAATGCAGGTAAGTACTATACATTTTTTTATGAGCTTAATGTTTTGCATGTTCATATTATTTAATCTCATTTAAACTCGAATAGATTTTATAAATGAGCTTATCAAAGATTCAATTAACAGAAATTAAATTGCATGTCAGAATTTATTTTATGAGAATACAAGAACTGACAAATTTATCCACTTAGCGACAACTAGTACGGATTACTCGAAAGAGAAAAAGAGAGATCGATAATATTTATTTCTTTTATTTTGCGATATCGCCCAGCTCGTTCTGCAACTCTACAGAAACAGACGCGCATACGGGACCGATAAAATACTGATACTTTACTGCTCGCGTTAAATAATTATAGTAATCACAATGAACCGTTTTAACGTTTCGTTGACGATCGGTTTTTTTTTTATGCATTATTTTGTGACTCTCTGTTCTATAGTTTCCTCGTTCTTCGGTCAATGCTGCAATTATTCCCGATTTAAGGCGACATTAGGAATTACGATTATATCCTTATTAAAGAGTAATTCTGTAATATCATAAGCTTCAATTTTCTACTGTATTGCTTCATCATATCATATTTACTGCTACCGTTAAACATCTTCAGTATGCGTTCGAAACTTTCGCGCGATGCATTCACGTTGATTAGGCTGAAGAGAGCAAGAGAGGTTGCT